CCTAATGTTTGTATCATGCTTTACACTTCAAAAGACGTTTTCTCACGCCCAGCAAACAGTAAGCTCTCCAATATTTGCTGGATGAGTGTTCCAGCACTCATTCTCGTAATCTCACCATAACAATCTCACTCCTCATATTCACACCAAATGGCAACAAACAGGGTTATCGCCATTTTAGAGAAGAGGAAACTGAGGCTTAACAAAACAGTCACACACCAGTAGGTGGCGAATTGGAGCTCTAGTCTCCTCTTACAAATTCAAGGCCAGTGCTTTTATTCTCTAAAAAATAAATACCCTCCGGCCCAGTATATTCACTTCTGTCCTTCACCTGCGGGAGGTCAGAGAAATCAAGCTTTTGCACAAAAAATCCAAGTAGGACCAGAGTTACACTGGTGCACCAGACGCCTGCTGGGTCCCGCGCAGAGGCTGACCTGCTGGAATCGCTGGGGCAGGGATTCACTCCTCAAGGCTGCCGAGTCAGTTGGTATGCTGGAGGTGACATTCCTAGGACACTGGCTGTTGCGTGGAGGAAGGACAGTGCTACTGCCCCACAACGTCCAGGGCTATAGGTCCCGACCTCTCCGTCCCGAGTGCCCAGGCTCTAGATACCCCTCCAAAGTCTTGATCACAACTCCAAATCTCAGCTCCTTAGAGCGCGAGGGTTTTGTAGCCTCAGTTCTGACAGCTACAAATTTCCTGGAAAGAAAACGAAGCTCAAAGAAAGGAAATATGTCTCCAGGGTCATCCAGCCAGTGGTGCCAGGACTGGGGTGGCAGTCCTTGCTCTGGGGCGGGTTCCTCACACCCTTAGGTCCACTTTGGGCCATGTGGCTGCGGAAAGTATGAGCTTCCCTTCAAGGGCAGGTCAGGCGAGAGATAGAGTGGGGTGACCGTGAAGGCTCCTAGAAGGACCCCCAAAATCATTAACTTGGGAGACCTTCCACACGTCAGAGGTCAGTGAGTAAAAGGAGAACTCATGGAATCGAGATATGCCCGTCGATTTGCCTTCATCCTAATCCTGCACATTGTCCTAGCCCTGCCGGTGACCTGAGGTTCTCTTCAGGCTAGGAACAGCTGTCCGCGGAGCCTTAGGAAGGCCTGGCCTAGATTCAGGCTAGGGAGTGCGTGGGTACCCCTAGGACCAGGGGCGAGGAGGAGTGAGAATGAATATAGCCGCTCCTAAAGTTCCACATCTTTTTCTGGCAGATTTTTACTCCCTTCCATAGAGCCAATTAAACGCAATAAAACCTCGCATGAAACCCCTCTTCCTGGAAAAGCGTCGCCAACAATTGCCTAAGGAGTAAACGAAATACGCCTGAGATAATTACACTAAGCCTGGGGCAGCGATTTGCCTGCCAGCGTCCTCAGCTCCAGCCAATATTTAGGTAGTGTAGTAGTTGTTTAAAAAAAAAAAAATTACACGCGGAAACTTAAGCCCGACTGGTTGGTGCCGAGTTGGTTACACGATCTGTTTTTCTCGAACAAGGGCCTGTAGGCAGCTGGAGCGCGCACGTTCTGGCCTCCACTGGTGCTGCTGCGCGCCTGCAAAACTTGCCTGAATTAAATCAACCTCTGGGGAAGGAGGCGGGAGAGAAGGAGAGCTCACCCCCGCGGCGGCCCAAGCTCCGCGGCAGGGATGCCCCAGGATTCACCGCGGCGGTAGCAGCGGGCCCGTGTCCAAAATGATGGTGCCCTGGGATTCCAGGTCCACTCCCTTGCCTGCTCTGTGTACCTTGCCTGCTCTTGTACCCTTGCCTAGTACATCCTGATGCGGAAGCGTGAGACTTGGGGCTCTTTGCAGGGCTGTAGCGGCTCTATTTTGGCCCAAGTTGGACCGGACCGACCAGAGGAACACTGCTCGCTTAAGCAGAAGGCTCTGGCCCAGCGATTTGCGTCCCTAGGCCTCAACCTGAGGTGTGGCAACGGTCCGCCGCCAGTACGAGCTTACCTAGTGAGTACCTGACTCACAGCTTTAGGGTTCAGGGTTCCTGTTACGCCCGTAAGTATTGCCTCGCGCGCCCTTGAAGGGCCCTTCCCTTTCCTCATTCCTCCGATATTCTGCGCCCACTCGCCTAAGGGGAACGTCCCCTGAGCTGCTCCAAAAAGGAGGCGTTGTAGTGCCCGGATGTCCTCGAGAAACGTCTACAAAAGATCCCTTTGCATGAGCTGCATATAAGGTCGGACCCAGATTCATTACACGCATTGTGCGTGGGCTCCAGGAAGCGTCCTTATAGAGGTCGGGAGACCCCAGCCTCCTGGGTAGGACAGAACTTTTCTTGCAGCGCCAGAGTCAAGGAAGTAGGGGCGACCCGGCTCCAGCGGGCTCTAACTGTAGGCATCTTTGGAATTCCTCTGTGGCTTGAGAGGACTGGAAAACGTCCCTTGCTCGGTTCCTTAAACCGCCTCATTGAATCAAAAATCCTGCACAAACTTCTTAGCGGGAGGAACGTTGCTGGGTGAAGTGAAGCGAATGAGTCTCCTTTCTTAGGCTAGGCCAAGAGGCTGCTTTTTCCTCCTGGACCCTCTTGCACGCTTCACCTTAACACTATTCTAAGATGTCTGCTGACCTAAAACAAATTGGCCAAACACTATTAGCCAGAAACGTACCTCCCTGGCTAACGATAGAAATCAGGAGTCCGCCCTCTTCACTGCACACCTGTTTCCGCTAAGCAACCCGACCAACAAACACACTCCCGTCGTGCAACTTACCGAAAGCCAAAAAGTGAAAATCCCCGACCTGGTGTCACCAAAATCGAGGGTTGGCGCCACAAACCTCTAGGCTGAAGGCCTTCTGCCTTAGGTTTTAGGCAGAGAAAATAAGAAATTAAAAACCATCCAGTGAGCCCTCGTTTCTAACTGCTCTTTTCTCCTCAAATCACGGAACTGAAAAAGAACCTGAAATTTTCCAACTTCGGACATCTCATTTCACAAATAATGAAAGTGAAGCCCAGAGATAAAACAGAGTATATTTGTTTCTAAACTCTAATTTCCCGCATGGCTTAAGGGTAATAGTACCCGAAACCAGAATATAATTTCAGGTCCTTCCTGCAGGCAGCTGTCATTTGCTGCTGAGTGAGAGAATGAAATGCAGAGCAGGGAAACTGAAAGCACTGGGATCCCAGCGTTTTGGGTTTTGTACCTTTCTCTCATGGTTCAGACCTGAGCCCTGTGGATTGCTAATTTTGGCTTCCTATTTAATTTAATTATCTCCCTTTCCGTTCTAAGTATAATGCAAAGTCTTCCTTCTGCCCACTGAAGTGATGGGACCCTTAAGCTCTCAACTCCTTTCTATCCCCAGTTCATACACCTTGAGAAACCTCACCCTGTCGGATCCACCCGTTCCAAGGAAGTGTTGGCGAAGCCTCCATTCTCCAGAGCTATCCTAATTTCCTGGTTATTGTCGGTATTGCCCTCTAGACCGCGGTCCTGGAGAGCAGAGAACTGTCTGGTGTCTCCCTGTACTTGGCGCAGATTACATAACGCACAAAAAAAAAGAGAGTGATGAACCTGGCATTTGTCGGAAATGCCCCCAAATCACTCCTCCCAGTTAACTTTTCCCTCCAACCCTCTGGACAGCGAGGTTTCTCTCAGAAAAGAGACCTTAAGGACGCATGCTCCGAACTTGACCTAGAGTGGCTAGCAACAGAGAAGCTCAAAGCCGATAGAGGAAAGGGTAAAGGGGAGAAGGCATGCAGAAGAGAAGAGGAGCGAGAAAGCAGTGTCCAGTTCCCCCCTACTCCAGCCCCCACCCGTGCTACGCGTGGTAGCCCTGGTTTGGCGCCACAGCAGGGACTGCACCGGCCCTGTACCCCCTCCCAGAGGACAATCTGCGCTACCCGCCCCACTGGGCTGGGGCTGGAGCTGCCGAGCCCGTGCTGAACGCAAGGGTGGGGGCTTCCGAATGAAGGTACAGGAGGGGGCGGGGGCGAGGCTCTGCGCCTTCTCGCCCCTTCTTCAGCTAGAGACTCGGCGGCGGCGGCGGCGGAGTCCCTCAGCCTCGGTCATGTGATAGTCTCGAAGCGCTAGCTGCGGGGGTCTCGGCGTCTCAGGGACCATTACAAAACGCAGCCAGGAGAGCGCGTCGCCGCCACAGCCGCCGCCTCTTCTTCTCAAGACCCGCCCGGTAGAGCAACGGCAGCTGCAGCGAGGACCGCTGAGCTGGCCTGGGCCAGTCAGGCACTCGCCTGTCCTTCGCAGGCGCCCCCTCCAGCCTGCCCTTCTCGCCTAGCGTCCTGCACCCGGGCTCCTCTGCAGAGCTTGAAGGCGCCGCTGCTGCAGAAACCACCAAACTTTTTACCCGCAGCGACCGCCTAGGGATCGGTGTTTCTTCCATCCTCAGCTCCGCTGCGAATCTCCAGAGAAACAGGGAGGGCCACGGGCTTCCAGAAGAGGTGCTTCTCTCTCCTTACTTTATCTCTCTCCTCCAGGAAAAAAACGAGAACTCCTGCGTGGACCAAGCAGTGGGCTAAGGGGCAGCGCCCAGGGCGCTGGAAATCACGCCACCTCTGGCTTCCAGGTCATCTAATGCAAACTCGGGTTTAAAGAGCTAGAGTCCCCACTATCCAGTCCTTCCTTCCAGGCAATTTGCCGTGGGCTTCCGTGGGCCGAGAAAAGGCAAAGAAGAGGCCACAAAGAAAAACGGCCCCTCGCCACTCGCTCCTCCGCCTTCATTCTCTGGCCACCCAAGGGAATACGCAGAGAAGGCAACGGTAAAGCTGGCGCGCCCCTCCCGCGACTGTGTGCGCCTGTCGGCGACCGTCCGGACCAGAAGTTGCGGGCGTCCTAGAGCGGAGTTGGCTCGAAAGACCAAGCGCGGAGACTCCCGGCTACTCCAAGAAGACGGGGAAGAGAAGCAGATCGGGCCTGAGGGGCTAGAGGGAGGGGCGGCTGGGCTGGACCAGGGGAGTGGGAGTTAGTGAGGGCATCCAGACCCCGGGAGTGGTGTGCCGAGCCGCACTGCGGCCCACTGTGGGCCGGAGGGTAGTGGAGGAGCTGGGGGCGATGCCGCGGCCGGGAAAGAGTTCGTACAGTGACCAAAAGCCGCCCTATTCGTACATCTCGCTGACCGCCATGGCCATTCAGCACTCGGCGGAGAAGATGCTGCCGCTGAGCGACATTTACAAGTTCATCATGGAGCGCTTCCCCTACTACCGTGAGCACACTCAGCGCTGGCAGAACAGCCTGCGCCACAACCTCTCCTTCAACGACTGTTTCATCAAGATCCCGAGGCGGCCAGACCAGCCGGGTAAGGGTAGCTTCTGGGCGCTGCACCCCGACTGCGGCGACATGTTTGAGAACGGCAGCTTCCTGCGGCGCCGCAAGCGCTTCAAGGTGCTGCGCGCGGACCACGCTCACCTGCATGCTGGAAGCACCAAGGGCGCGCCAGGAGCGGGACCCGCAGGTCACCTGCATCCCCACCACCCCCACCACCCGCACCACCACCATCACCATCATCACGCTGCCACACACCACCACCATCACCACCACCCGCCCCAGCCGCCCCCGCCCCCGCCCCCGCCGCACATGGTGCACTATTTCCACCAGCAGCCGCCTCCTGCTCCGCAGCCTCCACCGCACCTCCCGTCGCAGGCCCCGCAACAGCCGCCCCAGCAGTCGCAGCCTCAACAGCCGTCTCACCCCGGCAAGATGCAGGAGGCGGCTGCGGTGGCGGCGGCGGCGGCGGCGGCGGCGGCAGCCGCTGTGGGCAGCGTGGGGCGCCTGTCTCAATTCCCACCCTACGGGCTGGGTTCGGCCGCGGCCGCCGCCGCAGCTGCAGCCGCGTCCACCACCGGCTTCAAGCACCCGTTCGCCATCGAGAACATCATCGGCCGGGACTACAAGGGCGTGCTACAGGCTGGCGGGCTGCCCTTAGCATCTGTCATGCACCACCTGGGCTACCCAGTGCCAGGTCAGCTCAGCAACGTCGTGAGCTCGGTGTGGCCTCACGTTGGCGTCATGGATTCGGTGGCCGCTGCCGCCGCCGCCGCCGCCGCCGCCGGGGTCCCGGTAGGCCCAGAGTACGGGGCATTCGGGGTGCCAGTCAAGGCCCTGTGCCACTCAGCAAGCCAGAGCCTGCCGGCTGTTCCGGTGCCCATCAAGCCTACACCTGCGCTACCACCCGTGACCGCGCTGCCGCCGGCGCTCACTGTCCCGGCGGCTTCACAGCAGCCGCCAACGCCAACTGCGGTGTGCTCTGCCTCCACAGCCTCGCCCGCAGCCTCTTTGCTGGAGCCCACCGCTCCAAGCGCGGCGGAGAGCAAGAGCGGCTCCCTGCACTCGGTTCTGGTGCACTCCTAAGTGACCCGGCGGGGTAGGGAAAACAAACACGAGAAGAGACGCCCGGCGCGGGACTTCACCAACCGCCCCAGAGGGAGAGGGCGCCCTCAGAAGGCCGGGCAGAGCTGGCGAGTCCGAGGCTTTGCGTTAAAGGAAGGTATTTAAACCAGCGAACAAAATCCGAAAAGTGGATTGTCCAGTGGTCTGAATAAACATAACTCTCCTGGTGTCTGTGTTTATACTATGTTGTACAATCAGATTAATGAAAGTCAATTTTTTCAGGTAAGAGTTTCTATTGTAATTATTATAATCAGTAAATTATGGGGGGAGGGAGCAAAGGAGGTTGGGGAGCCTCATTCACTGGCAAATTGACAATGGATTTCGACCCTTGTTTCTGGGAGCAGAAACTGACTGAACTGAACCTTGCGGAGAAACCTAACAGAGAGTGATGCTGAAACGAATTTCAGCCGCCAAGTTTCTCTCATCCCTTGGCAGTCGCCCCTCGTGAATATTCAAGACAAAACTCCATCCACTAAGGAAATCTCCTTTCAGTTGAGAAGGAAAAAGGGGTACTTTTGATACCGTTATTTTCTAGGCCAGCTAAATGAGCGAAAACACAGCGTCAAGAATAAAATCACTTTGAGCGGGGAGGAGACAGTAGGAGCGCACAGGAAAGGTCTTTGGGAAACAGTTGAGTTTCTTGGCCCTGACCCGGGGGTCGAGAAAGATAGGAGGAATCGCTAAAGCAATTAGTTTGCATACAAAAAAAAAAAAAAAGTGGCAGCGGCTTAAAGAGCAAAACCCCAGATTCCAAAAGTAAAGTTGGGGAAACAACACAACCAAAGAGAGACAATATAAGCGACTTTCCACCTGCAGTTCGTTTGTATGTCAATCAGATGGGAGATCTTGAGGAGCCCAAGAATACAGTGAATTCCCACGATCTATTCTATCTGGAATTTAAAGAAAAAAAAACCCATTTATATCACAGAGATTTTGTTCTCTTGACTCATTAATGCGAGAAAAACTTTTGCATCATCCAACAGTGTTGCTTTTTAATACTTGCAAGAGCGTTGGTGGCTGTTCCCTGCCAGCCTTCTTGGATAGAAGCTACCAGTCTGACCCCAGTCACTTTTGCACGCTGCAGCAGTTTAGTGTTATTCCCTTTGCTGTTTGGGCGCTTGTGTCTTTCAGGCAAATTCTGCAGTTTCAGTTTGTGAATGGAAAAGAAACTTGCCTTGTCTCTGTGGCCCTACCCCCTCTTTTGAGTCCCAGGAATAGCACTTTACTTGCAACAAACTTAGGAACGAAGTGGGGAGGAGTGGGGAGGAATCAGCTTTGCTCTTTGGCTCTAATCGCCTCTGGCTTGTGTCCGCACCGCTCTGGGGTTGTGACTGCACTTGGTTCCTGTCTGCTGGTGTTGTACGCGGTGTTCTCCATTAAAGCTTCTCTCTGGACATTCCGACGCGAGTGTGAAAATGTTTGTCTTCTCAAGAGGCGAGACCACCTTAGTCTGAGTGCCCACTCCCCTTTATTAAAAATCTCCTTTCCCTTTATGTCATAAACTTCAGAACTTCAAAGGAGTGAGTTCACAGGAGAGCCACCTGTGGAGACAAATTTCCTCCATTGCTCCTAGAGCTCCCTTCAACTGTTGGCTCAATTATCTTCCCTACCTGTTTTCATAACGCTAGTTTTCTAATTGAGTTTCATTAAATACATACACCTCAATGCTAGAGGCTGAATTAGCCAGAACTCGTAATTAATTCTCCTTTCTTTATCACCACCACCCGCCTCCTTTTCGTGAGATCCTCAAGGGCAGACCAAGGCTGGTGACTCGGTGCCAGCGTGGTGGGTGCCCAACGGCACCCCTTTAAGTTTGCGGGGTTGTAGTGGGGCCCGCGAGACTGAGGTCGGGACGCTGCCACCCGCACAGCTGCCGACATTAACGAGGTACGCAGGATCCTCCATGGCGTCCTGAAAGACCTGTTGAGCGCTGGTGCCAGAACGCGCGCTCAGCAAGCTAGGCATCCGTGGTGACCACAGCCTGGAACTCAGGGCCAGGGAGCTCTCAGCCCGTGAGAGCCGGCAGCCCCGCAGCAAGTGCTAGCTACCGGGAATCCTAGTGCGGCAGCCGCAAACTAGGCTAAGCAGGGAGTGGGCGAGCGGGCTCCGGCAGCGGGCGAGTGACCCCCTTGGGGCCCCAACAGGGCAGCTAGGTCTCCACCTCGACCCTTCACCAAAGCTGCACTTTGAACCAGCTTTTCTCTGCCCAGCCACTCCCAAGGAAGGTCTTCTCGGAACTTTCATCATAATAAAATAAAAAGCCCAAAAGGTGACCTTTGCATAGTGATATTGCTGGGGAGATTTGGGTTACACCTCAAAAACAGGTGTTTGCATGTATCCCTCATTTACAAATCTCATTACACCGTGCCAACTAAGTTTTGGCCTCTCATGGGAGACGTGTCACAGATCACTGACTCCTTGGGGACTCAAACAATTCAGGAGTATATCTTATTTTTCCTGCTTGAGATTCTGCAAGGCTCCCTGCAGAGTTTTTCTCTCCACTAGACTGAGACTGTTGAAATGGGGGAGGGGGGAGAGCCCAAGGAGATACTGACTTTGGGTTCATAGATTTGGGGAGGTTTGGGAGTCTGGCATCTCTATCATCTCTGAGTGAGCCGGTGCCTTAAGTCCTAGACCAGAGCCCTAGTGTAGGGACAGGAGACGCTCCATCTAAAGGAGTGACTGGATCCCAGGAGTTTCTTCAGGGATCCTCTTTTCCTTTCCCACCTGCCAGAATGATACTGTGTGCTTTTGAGCGGTGCCCAGGGTCTCACTTCCGGGAAAGGAGCATAACCCAAGGTGAGGGTGGGTAACCAAGAAAGTTGGCCCAAGCCCCTGGCGAGAAGAGCCTGTGAACATTTACCTGGGAAAAGATTGAGTAGTGGGCCCTTGTGCTTTTTTACAGGACCCTCCTGGCATCCAATCCCTGCTGAGTAGCCCTCCCGACCTCAGAGCGGGGAACACGGTCATTTTGTTTTTATGGTAAGGAGAAAAAGAAAGGAGACAGAAGGTAAAGGGAACTTAGAGGTGGTTCAAGTTTTCATTCAGGAGGGATCTCTGGTACCCAGAGGACGATATGCAGGACGTGGAGACAGAGAACAGGGAAACTCATGTAAATAAACTAAGAGGGAGGGCCCTTCCTGCTAAAGATCTGATCTCAAGGGAGGCCCTGATTAAATACCTCTACCTCCCTGAGATCTCTCTTAACTAAGATGGGGTCTGTTGGGCCATAAGTCTATTGTGAGGAGATTTGTCCCCACAAGCACCCCCTCCCTGTGAACCCAGAACCAGGCAGGAACATTCTGGACAGAGGAGGTGTCCAGATGGGGAGGGGATGCTGGTGGGGACAGACAGACATTACTCTGAAATACTAGGACTGGGAGAATTTTATGTCCTAGCTCACTGCTTCTCACCATGATGGTTTGTTTTGTTTTGTGTTTTTTGTTTGTTTGTTTTGTTTTGTTTTTTTAAACCCAAGTGCCAAAAATCAGTCACTCAAAGACCTTGGAACCAGGCTCCTGTGCTTCTTTTAAATGTGTTATTAGGAGGTCAAGCTATTAATAAAGTATTGCCCTGGCAATAAAGTTTATGGAAAACCCCTATACCTGGCATAAGAATAAGTTAACAGGGATAATTTGATAACACTCTCAACTGGGTGTATGGTCCCATCTAATCCCACAGGTATTTGCCCTCTAGCTGCAGGTCAGAATGGGAGTTCTGAACATAAGTAAGATGGAAGGAGAAGCAGGTATTAATTTATGACCATCTCAGTTCACAAGTATAATAAAAATCACTTTGGGTAGGCAAGGTGCTTGTGGAGATAATATGCAGTTATGCTTCTGATTGCCAGGATAATAGACAAGTTCATAGTTGTCTAGTGTGGTAGTATAATCCCAGCTGCTGGGAAGCTGAGGCAGGAGGATGGAAAGTTCCAGGCCAGTCTGGGCAACATAGTGAGGCCATGTCTCAAAAATAAAATCAATCAATCAATCAATAAAAATGTAAAAGGCTAGGAGTGCAGCTCAGTGGTAGAGCATTTGCCTAGCATGTAGGAGGCCCCAGGATTCAATTCCCAGTGCGGATAGATAAATAGATAGATAGATAGATAGATAGATAGATAGATAGATAGATAGATAGATATTTTGGGAAGGCTATAGTTGCTTAGCTCATATCACACATTGAATGAACAGAACACCTAAGAAATACAGGATATGCAATAAGGAGGGAGGGAGCTCTTAGTGTAGGTGTCCTTAAAAGTAGAAGGAAACCCACTTGGAATGATCTATTTATTTCCCTGGGAAACTAAGAATAGAGATAAGGGCTGAGGGAGGACAAACCTACATTATCTGTGGTGGCAAAAACAGGCCCTCCTGCAAGGGCCAGAATTGGCACAGTTGGCATCTGGCACTTAGGAAGCTTGTCAGCCGGGCTGGCTTGTGGTCAATTATCTCCTTAAGTAGACTGGCACCAGTCCAGCCAGGGAGGAGAACTAGTTACATTCATAGGAATCAGAGCCAGTTAGCTGGAAGTGGCACTGCTGAATTCCAAGCATCTTTGTGTTGGAGGGTTGGAAGGTTTGATCAACACATATCCTCCTGGGACTCAAAGGTGACATTTGCCTGCTTGGCACTAGTACAGAACTCAGAGTATGAAAATAGGATGAATTAGGAGAAGAAACATGGATCTTCAAAGGGATATATTCCACTTAAGTTCCATTCACCTGACAAAATTGCCATTTCTGATACACACAAAATAACACAGAAATCCTTATAAATTGAACAGGGTCAAGATCCTTCACTGGATAAGTATCTGGTTTCTCACTGTACCTATGAAATGTCAAGACAGGATAATTTGGGGGGGGGGGGCATGTTCATGTTGAGTGATGTGATATTAGTGATTACATGTGTCTACATGTGTCTACAATTCTGTATGGGAGTCCTGGGGAAGGTTAGGGTTGGCAC